AGCCCTCCTGAGACGCCACACAGCCCACCTGAGATGACCCTGCAGAGCCCACCATAGACTCTATGGTGGGCTCCGCCGGGTTTCAGGTGGGCTGGTCACACCTCTGCACACCTCTTACCTGTCAGCCCTGATCTGCTGTCAGCCTCCTCCACCACCGGCCCGGCCTCCTCCACGGTCGCTGCTGGGCCCCCGCCTCCACCGGGCTCCTCCACCGCAGCTGCTGGCTGTCACTGACTCAGCAGCGGCTGTAAGGAGGAACGGGCCATTGCACAGATCACTGACAGGTTGTCGGTGATCTGGACAGTGGCACATTCCTCCTGACAGCCGCCAGTGACAGTCCTGCAGCCTGTGATGCCATATCGACCCAGGCAGCCTGCACGGCATCAGGGGGACCCCTTTGTTCTTGCTCCTGGCCGGGCCCCTCTTTGCCCCGGTCCCATAGTGGCCGCCTGGGTCGCTATGGCGATAGTTCTGCCACTGGAGGGTTTATTATTACTTGAAGCCTGCATCCTTGTTTCATGACAGGTGGGACGGTAGGCCTTTTGACAGGTGAGAAAACAATGCAATACTTTGTGTGGGACTAGTAGCATTCAGTGTTGCTGTTTCAGGGCTGAAGAAGGTTAACACTCTCACAAGAAGGTTAATACTCTCCTACAGGGGTTAATTTAGTATTGGGGATGATACTAGGGGTCATTTAGGTTATTGTTGGGGGTCAAAGATTATGGCATTAAAATTAAAGGAAACCTTTCCTGAGATGAACCTGGAGTCTGTGACTGCTGATTGTGCACATGCCAGTTGCTTGGTTGTCCAGCTGATCTTATGGCTTCAGCATTTTGAGTCACTAACCTGGAACAATTATGCAGATAAGTACTTCTGACTTTCCTCATCTGCATGCTTGTTCTTGGTCTGTGACTCAGAAAGTATAACAGACACTGTCAGAAAAAGGCAGCCACTGTATTTCTCGTTAATTGTTTACTTTAGGATTAGAGATAATGGGGGTGGGGGGTGGGGGGTTATTTGGGTTGGAGTAAGTGTTTCAAGTATATCTAAAACCAAACACAGCAATTCATTTTATTGCAGCTTTCCAGTCCTTTAGATTAGGTGGCTGCATTTTCTTTTTTTTGTGGTAATCCTGCAAATAAAACACTTCTGCCATAGGTGGCTGTGCTCCCATCCCTCCACTGTATCTGTGGGAGAAGTCATGGTTGTTACCTAGGCTGGACTACAAGTACAGTATGTCTGCCTTGGTACGGACGGACAAGAGGCACAATGACCACCATTCTCTCCCTTCTCTCATTTATCCGTTTCCTTCTATATAGAGTAACATAATGTTACATTTATATTGCTAGTGTGAATTACTATACTGCCTGAATTGTGTGTTTGTAGTTCTATTATGCCTCTTAAAATGCAATACAATCCTTGTAAAAAAAGAAAGCAAGAGGCTGATGAGCTTATCTCTGTGTCACTCTGCTTTCTCCTCCTAGCAGCATGCTTCTTATGCTGGGCACACACCTTACAACCATCGCAAGACTTTTGCCTTGCGATGGTTGTAAGGTAATTAAAAAAACGTACGATCTGCCTATCTTGGACAGGCAGATCGTACTTGCGATGATCGCAAGCCCGCCCAGCTGAGGGCTGGGCCTCCGATGACCGCAATGCCGAACGGGCAGTGTGCGCTTGCGCACACCGGCCAGTCCGGCTTTTATCTTATGAACATGCTACACACCCGCCGAAAATCGTACGATTCTCGGCGGGTTTTCGAACATGTTCCTAAGATAAAAGTTGTGCGACCTTACAGTAGCAGAGGTCGCACGGCTCCCACACACGGCTGGCTCCTTGTGCTGCATCACTCCAAGTTTGAGCTCTGATGCACAAAGGGATTGCAAGAAAGGTACATTACACTGCTTTCATTACAAATACATTTAAGGTGTATTAATGATAGTACAAAGATGTATTAATTTAACTTTTATATGTGCCTGGCATTCAGCTCAAAGGATCAATGTTAATGTGTTGGTCTGGACTTAATGGACCGAAGCCAGAAACAGCCTGGCAACTAGCATTCTCAGAATGGCAGGATCCATATTCCTTTCACTACAGTAAACTTGCCTTTACAATAGCAGTATGACTCATCTGTGCACAGTGCATATTAATGAGCATGCATTCATGCACAACAACGCATCAGCACAATCTAAATGGGTCATCGGGGGTAGTTTAAAGGTTATGGTCTTAACTTGTTGCCGGCATTAAAATTCCTATTCTCAGAACCGCTGCTTTGGGCTCCCAGCTCTGAGAAACTTGAGTATCAAATCGAATGTGGGTTAGATGAAGATTTTCAACAGTCTCATCTGTCCTCAGTTATTCGCTTAGGTCAGGGGTGGCAAACACAAGGCCCGCGGGCCGAATCCGGCCCGCTGGACCTTGTAATGTGGCCCGCACAGCAGCCACCTCATTTTGCCATGTCTCATGGCCCTATGTCAGCGGTGGCGAACCTATGGCACGCGTGCCAGAGTGGGCACGCGGGGCCGTTTCTGCTGGCACGCGAGCCCAGTTCTGCCGTACCACTTCAAAGCTCACTGATGGGCACGCAGGCGCAGAAAAGAGCTTCAGAGACGATATCTTCTGCCACGCAAGCGCACTGAGGACGAGACGAGGAGCCGCGCAGGCGCAGTGACGTCAACAACTGACAAGAAGGTATGTGAAGCGCCCGTAGTAGCCGACCGGAAGCCGCCGAGTCCGACTCAGTCTACCTCCTGCAGACACAGCAGTGACAGGAACGGACCTTCGGCTCTCCCCTCTCTCTTTCCGTCTCCAGCCACCCGCTTGTGTGGACGGGTTCCCACTGCCGAACACCCACTCAGCCAAGGTTCTCCTCCTCAGTGGCGGATCCAGGGGGGCAACGGGGCAATTCCCCCCCCCCCCAAGATTAGTGTCGCGACTCCCGACTCTCCATCCACGTTCTGCCGCAGCCACCCGTCCCGCAGTGTGTACTGACAGCTGTCCCTCCAGCTCCATGTCACAGACTTTACTGCGGTTCATTGTAAAAACTTTGTACAATGAACTGCAGTAAAGTCTGTGACACACAAGGAGGGACAGCTATATGTTCCGGCGTGTGTGCTGTGCGGGGATCCGAATACAACAGGCGGCTGGCTGCCTGTCATTGACAGTGATCACTGTTAGCCTGGTGGAGAGGTGTTGCAGCCTGGATGTAGGTATGGTTGGGGAGTCTATGGGTGATAGCTGGCTTGGGGGGATTGGGGGACTGTAGCTGGGTGGTATTCAGCATTGCTGTATAATGATTATACAGCAATGCTGAATACCACCAGCTGAGGGCCCGCGGGCGTCACCACAGGAGAACTTTATTGAGGACACCATGATTACTATTACAATGATAATAAAGAGTAGATGCATAGTCCTATACAACCGGCCCTTTGAGGGTAACCATACTGCTGATGCGGCCCCCGATGAATTTGAGTTTGCCACCCCTGGCTTAGGTGATGAATGGCATTCGAACGCAAAACCTTCAAAATGATCTTGGGGGAACGTAAGCCCTTCAAAATAATCTTGGGGGATGGCGAGATGACCAACTGCATTCGAACACCAGCCATTCGCCTTGATCTTGGTGATTGGTTAGGTGATCAATGGCATTGAAGCCCCTTCACCTTGATCTTGTTGGTTGGTTAGGTGGTCAGTCATTCCATGCCCCTGCCTTTTTAGATTGCAGGCTCTTCTGGGCAGGGCCCTCCTTAACATCATCTTGAATTGTATTGTAATGTCTTCCTTGTTTTGTAAAGCGCTGCGCAAACTATTGGCGCTATATAAATCCTGTATTATGAAAATAATACCCCAGCCCTTCACCTTGACCTTTGTGGTTAGTTCGGTGGTAAATGTCATTCCAACCCCAGCTCTTCGCCTTGATCTTGGTGGTTGGTTAGGTGATCAATAGCATTTGAACCCAAGCCCTTCGCCTTGATCTTGGTGGTTGGTTAGGTGATCGATAGCATTTGAACCCAAGCCCTTCGCCTTGATCTTGGTGGTTGGTTAGGTGATATAATGGCAGCCAAACCCCAGCCCTTTGCCTTTATCTTGGCAGTTGGTTAACTGATCAATAGTATTTCAACCCAAGCCCTTCACCTTGATCTTGGCAGTCAGTAGCAGCCTATTGTGGCAATAGACCTGAGCCAGTGAGCATGCACTGCATGTCTGTACAATTTATCTGGATACATCTCTGCCCTGATTAAAGAATGCCAACTTCAACACTGCAGACTTACTATTGTGGCCATAAAGGGTGTAAATACGCTTTCAAAGCACCCAACATGATTACCTGGAAATGACACAGAAATAGGAGTAAACAATGGAGCAGAGTAAAGCAGGTACCAGATCTCTCCTACAACAGTAATGACATGATCGAGTAAACAAACGCAGCAATAAAGCTCACACTTAATATTTCTGAATTCCAAATTAGTTAGAAAATGGACCCCAGGGCAGTTCTCCCTCTGTAGCCCTTTCATCTGCTGCTCCCTAGTCTCTTATTTGTCTAGCTAAATCTCCCCAATGGATACTACGTGATTGCTGATGCCTGTGTGTGAAAGCACCAAGGGACTGTGTGTGTGAGAGCTTAGGCTTGTACTGGATGAAGCCTATTACATAAGAGGTGGCTGTGAGCTGGCTGCACCCTACATGGACGAGGGAATCAAGGAGCCGCAGGAAGAGAGGCACACGACTGATCAGCTCTTTAGGACTTGAATTCTTCCCCCACCCCCCTTTTTTTTTTTTCCCCCCCCCTCTCTGCCGTCCCCTTCCTTGGGT